TATAATTTGAACGAGAAATTAATTTTAAGTATTATATGTGGAATAAAAGAAGCTTAGTAGCTCAAAATTTGTTTAGATCGTAGAGAACGGACAAGTTCTGATCACTAAAAGGTGTAAAATTGCACATAATACAATGCAAAAATTGGTCCTGTCAAGGCGAGACGACCCCGAGTCCTGGGTTCGTCATGACCCCACGATGACTGTCACGTCACGACTCGACGCCTCAGAGGGCGCAACCAGATCGTGACGCCCGTCACAACACGAACTTGGGTCCCACCTGTTAGGTATCAAGAGCCATTCGTTTCAATACCGATTCATCTGTAAAGGTGTCTTTTAATCCTTAAACTCCCTAGAGGTGTTTTTCACATCTTTAAACACCAACATGTCTAAATCATTCAAGAAAATACCTGCAATTCAAGAGATTTTGGATTACCTTTTCAAAGTTCATATAACATATTGTGTTCTTCGATTTTTTTCATTGAGTCTTGAGAGCTGCAAACAATAGTACTGTTCGCCGAAGACTTGTATATTTAAAATGCTGTTATATGCAAGTCAAAAGTTGTTATGTCTTGGAAGCATTTTCCGTTAACAGTGGGTATTTTCAGGGTAATTTCGTCTTAAGAAGAACGTAACTATTATGTGCCTCAACTCTGTTTTCTCTTTTGTTTTCTTCTTTCTCCTTAAGCTATCTCTATGATGTTCACAAACAACACAAACTACAATGTAAAGATGAAATTTTTTGTGAGTTCATAAGATGACAATAGAAGGAAACCACATTTTCTTCATGTGCTCCACCGACCGTTGGCAACTATTACATTCACCCCAGTGGTAGCGCCCTGTCCAAGGAGCAGACCGTTGAAATTCAACGACTCTGATTTTAAGAGGTGAAGATAAAAAATGTTATTTTATTTCAGCACCCTTTTTCTTTCTCAATTTCTCATGGAAGAGCCTCCAATGTTTATGAGAAAGACAATGACAAGCAAAGACGTAAAGAGTTGGGTGTTTGGCAAAGATTGAAGTGCCTAAACCAAAGCAAGTGAAATTGGACCGAAGATTATTGATTGTATATCTATTGGTTATTCAAAAAATAGCAATGAACAACAAATTTTTGTGCACAAACTGGAAATCCAAGAGATTCATAATCGAAAGATTATTGAGTCTCGAAATGCAGTTTTCTTCGAGAATATTTTTCTTCGTAAAGACATGGAATAAACAATCTCTAGAAATACACATTTGAAGAGGTCGAGCTACCTCAAGAAATTGAGGATGGGACAAGGTGCAATATGAATACATAAGGACTTAAGTCTTTTTGTCCTATATTTTTAACTTACGCGTTAGGAACGAACCGAGAATTATTCGAGACATTTTGACAAGTCTGAAAGATCTTTTTTGGAAAGAAGCTATCAATAGTGAGATTGAATCTATTTTGCATAATAATACTTTAGAGTTTTAATCTCCCACCGGGTAGCAAACCTTTGGGATGTAATGGATCCTTAAGAAGAAGTATAAAGTTGATGAAAATATGGATAATAATAAGGCTTAATTGATCGTAAAAGGGTTTAAACAAATAGATGGATATGATTATTTTACATATATTCTCCTATAACTTGAATTACGTCTATACGTGTTCTAATTGTGATTGCAACAATGCATGACCTTGATATCCATCAAATGGATGTGACAGTGGCCTTATTAAATGTAGACCTCGAGGAGGAAAATTGTATGGAACAACCTAAGGGTTACGTTGCACTCGAAAAAGAGCGAAAGTGTGTCGCTTGATTAAGTCGCTTTATAGTCTAAAACAAGCACCTAAGCAATGACACGAAAAGTTTGATGAAGTGATGTTAAACGGGTTTAAAAATCAACGAATATGGTAAATATTTATAATAAAGGTAAAACCGATATATTTGTGATCGTATGCCTCTATGTGAATGACATGGTGATCTTGGGAAAAGATAATGTCTAATTCTTAGTACCAAGAAATGTTGAAAATAAATTTTGACAAAGAGGATATGGAAAAAGTTGATGTGATCTTAGGGATTAAAATCTCTAAGAGTTGAGAAGGAATTCTTTTGTCTCAATCCCATTATGTTGAAATTATCTTGAAGATGTTCGATGCATTCGATAAGCCTTAAGATAAGATGGTTGTTGATTTAACTCAACACATAGCTAAAAATTTTGGTGAATTGGTTTCTTAACTAGAACACTCACGAGTATTTGGGAGCTTGAAGTACTTGATGAATTTCACTCGGTCTGGTATAGCATATCCGTGTTAAGAGTATACATAGAAGCTCTACTTAATTTGTGTTACAAGCAATTCCATTTTAGTTGAAATTAATTTTTTGTCAAGTGTATGTTTGTAGTTAATTTATACGAAAATGGTTCCTTTATTTTACGTTGTAGATAATATGGTTAGATGTGTCGATCATAAAGATCATATTATAAATTCCTTGTATAATATAAATTATAGGTTTACAACATAGAAAAAAATCGAACTAATTGTTGTGAAACGTTGTAGTGTGATTCTCGAATTAGTTGAACTTTGACTAATGAGTTACACTATTACAATTGAAATGTATTTAACGAACCTTGTAGGATAAGATTATTATATACTTACTCAAGAAGTAATCTAGAACTCGGTTGCTGTACGTCGGCTAAGTTTCTCGTTGATTTCAACTTTGAACAACTCACAAGCTCGAATGGGTGAGGACCTAAATTAAAAACTTGAGTGTGAACAGCTATATGCGGGCTAAGTTGCTCGTTGGCACGAACTTCTAACAGCTCACAAGCTGGGTTGGGAGAGAACCTAAATTAAACAGCTCGCAAGCTGGGTTGGGCAAAGATCTAAGTTGAAAACTTTAGTTTGAACAGCTATATGCTGGCTAAGTTACTCGTTGATTCCAACATTGACCAGCTCACAAGTTGGATTGGGTGAGGACCTAAATTAAGAACTTTAGTTTGAACAACTATATGCTGGCTAAGTTGCTCGTTGATTCCAACATTAAATAGCTCGTAAGCTGGAGTAGGCAAGGACATAGTCTGCTAATTACAAAATACAAAACTAAGGATAAATCGAGTAGATTGCAAACTAAAACTAATATGGCACGACCTAAACATTTTTGGAGAAAATATCGAGCTAAGGAAACTTGGAAATATGCATGCATAAGAATAATGGCAGGAATTAAACGGTCAACGTGACCTTGCGAAAGTCAGGAATTAAACGGTTAACGTGGCCTGGAGAGAGATTGCTCGAACATAAAACAAAACGCAAAATGCAGTAATATTTAAGGGCCTTTATGAACTTGCACAAAACGGAGAATAAAAATATTTTGGTCTTCGTGACCTTATAAAACAACAATAATCAACAAGGAAAAATGTTTGCGAGTCATCCAGACCATACATAAATATAGAAAAAGGGCCAGATTATTGGATCATCCCGCTGCAATTTCTAAAAGGATCACCTCCCCTGGGCCAATGCCCTCGACTGCCTAATGAGTAAAGCACGAGGAGTAATGAGTCGTCCCGAGAGCCCCATTCATTGGATATCCTTAAACTTAAGGCAAGCCCACCACGGATGGTCATCGAGAAGATATGAGTCGACTTTCAACCATCAGTGTAAGAAATACTTTATTGGATTAGGTCGCGGTTGAATGTCCCCAAAAAGTTTTCTTGTGACAGCTCGAGTTCAGTACCATCTAGAGCAGCATGGAAATACTGGTAGGGCGCAGGAGTAATCTTCTATAAGAATTCCTTGGAGTCAAGGAATTTTAAATGACCTCCTAACGGAAGACTTCAGTGAAAAGCGGTCCAATGGGAGAAAGTAGAAACGACTGCGACCCTCAATCCCGGCTGCCTCCTCTCGCTCTAGAGGTTGAGCTTAATAAAGCTCATCTTTTTTCATGCAACTCATCCTCATGGTTGTTGCGGGTTAGGTCGACTTTCTTATGGAAAGTTCCCTTCTCACATGGTATCTTGTCGATGATGGCATTGATAGACTCAATCTCTGGTTTCTTCTCTCTAAGAGCCTCTCTTTCTCCCTCAAGCTTCACTCAGAAAGATGGTACATTGGCTTCATTGTCGGAGACCTCATCCTTGAGCATTTGGCGGTCGTGAGGAATTGTGAGAAGACATAATGAGAAATATATCAGTAACCTGCTTAAAGAACGAGAAAGTAAATCACTTGCTCGTGCGAGATTGTGAGGTGCGTAACAACCACACTCGCGCACAACATTTTCGAAGCGAGTTATCTAATTTAAAGGTCAAGTAGATTTCAAGTAATCGGCAATCATGGATACGTCTTTATTAAGGGCCATCTTGGAGAGCTGCTCTAGAGAGATTGAGCAGATCGCACGAAGAGAAGGTTTTCTCGGAGAGCTCCCAGCCTCGGTCTTAGTGACCTCTGAAGGAATGGCCTTCTGAACGAAACTCCTTGGTCGAAGAAAGATGGGGTCGTGCTCCTTAGCCAGAAAAGAAGGGGTGCTACGGGTGTTTCTGGTTAAGATGGCTAGGGAGCTATTTTATTGGTCGACTTCTTCTTGCGAAGAGGACCGGTTCTCTTGGTGAGAGAGAGTGAAGTGTTGGTTGTGAAGTCTACAAAAAGTAAAATTGAAAGTGAGAACAATAATAATAAGCAATGATCGAGCAAGGAGGTCGAAACTACCTGTCCGACCATCGACTGTACCCCCCAATACTTCTCCCCAGTTGTCTCCATCCTTCGGTACGCCTTATCCCATAGCACATTATGTTTCTTGATGGCAAGCCGCTATGCAGGATGAGATTCGTGCCATGGAGAATAATGGCACATGGGATGTAGTTTCTCTTCCATATAGAAAGCGTGCGATTGGGTCCAAGTAGGTCTTTAAGATCAAGCATAAGTCTGACGGTTCCGTTGAGCGCTATAAAGCGCGTCTGGTGATATTAGGCAATAATCAGGTGGAAGGTCTTGACTATCATGAGATGTTTTCTCTCGTCGCCAAAATGGTTACAATCCGGTTATTCTTGGTTGTGGCTGCTGCTAAGCATTGGAACGTTCACCATATAGATGTTCACAATGCTTTTCTTCCTGGTGATTTGGCTGAGGAGGTTTACATGAAGTTTCCCCCTGGTTTTCACTCTACGTTGATGGGCAAGTTTGTCGTCTTTATCGTTCCATCTATGGATTAAAGCAGGCTCCCCACTGCTGGTTTGCCAAGTTGGCTACGACTTTGAAGCAGTATGGTTTTTGTCAGTCCTATCATGATTACTCTCCCTTTACACTGCATCGTGGTTCTATCAATTTGCAGGTCCTAGTCTATCTTGATGATCTTATTATTTTCAGGATTGATACCACATCCATTGCGGCCTTCAAGAGTTAATTGAGTCGTCATTTTCACATGAAGGATTTTAGGTTGCTTAGTTATTTTCTGGGTATCGAGGTTGCCCGAAATTCTTCTGGCTTATTTCTCTGTCAGCGGAAGTATGCTCTTGACATCATAGCCGAGCTCAGACTACTAGGGAGCAAGCCAGCTGATTTTTCCGTGGAGCAGAATCACCAACTTCTATTAGCCGAGGGTCCTTTATTCTCTGATCCTGAGTAGTATCTGCGTTTAGTAGGACATTTGATTTATTTGGCAGTTACTCGTCCTGATTTATCTTATGTCGTGCACATGCTCGCACAGTTAATGCATGAGCCTCGTTAAACACACTGGGACGATGCTCTTTATGTGGTTCACTATTTGAAGGGTACTCCGAGCCATGGTATTTTTCTTTAGTCTGATTGTGACTTGCAGGTTTATGGTTGGTGTGAATCATATTGGGCGCCATGCCTTACTACCCGCCTGTCTCTCACTGGTTAGTTCATACAACTTGGTCATTCTCTGATATCATAACGTACTAAGAAGCAACACACGGTTGCTCGTTCTTCAGCCGAGGCTGAGTATTGTGTTATGGCGACGCTTACTTGTGAATTGAAGTGGTTACGGGATTTGCTACATAGCCTTGGTGTGGCTCATCATCAGCCGATTTTATCCGATTCATTGCAAGTTTCAGACGGATCTTCACATTGCTGCTAATCCTGTCTTCCATGAGCGCACCAACCACAATGAGGTTCACTGTAACTTTCTTCATGACGCTCTCGTTCAAGGCCATCATTTTTGTTACTCATGTTTACATTTTCACTAACGCCTTGGGCAAACGCGAGTTTGATTTCTTCCTTGGCAAGTTGGGCATCTGGAATCCCCATGCTCCAACGCTCCAACTTGAGGGGGGGTGTTAAACTTTTAGAAGTCTTTTACTTTTAAATTGTTGTTAAGTTGTGTTGACTAAGTCATTGTCAAAGTAGTTGTGATTTCTTGGAGTTTGTTGATCATGGGATTGTGCTGATAAGATCCCTGATTTTTTGGTGTTCTGTTATTATTGTGATTTATGTTTTACCTATAAAAGGGTTGTTGCTCATGAATAAAATAACGAAAATTTGAAGTCCATTTTCTTCTACCTTTCTTTGTTTTGTTTACCGTTGGTTTGTAACAAAGGTATCAAGAGCTTTGTGAGATCCTGAGAGTGAAAAAAAATATAAAAATAAAAACAATGGCAGCAGAGTCTAATTTTGTTCAAGCAGCCATCCCAGGTTTTGATGGTCACTATGACCATTGGAGCATGTTGATGGAGAATTTTTTGTGCTCTAAGGAGTGCTGGTCTATTGTTGAATTTGGTATTCGAGAGCCCCCACCAAACATGGTTCTAACACGCGGGCGCAGGCACTGTTGGGCACTGCTGGGCACCCAATTGCCGCAGGACGTGCCAGTCAT